TTTCCAGAAGCCCCTCCCTGTCGCCTGGACCCTAGAACTCCCTGTCGCCTGGACCCTAGAAGCTTCCTGACTCACTCTGATCTAGAAAGCAGAGAGTGGGAGCAGATACTATGCAAACTACTGGGCAACAGATTTAGATTTTTGTTCTAAAGATAATACAATGGTACAACTGGTTCCCATGTGCTAATTATTATTATTAAAGATAATAAGTATTGGGTGTAATTATTAAATATAATCATTATTAACAATAATAATACTCATTAAGAATTGCTATCATTAAAGATCGTGGTAATTATTATTAAGACTGCACAACAGTCTAACAAGTCAAACCATATCATACCTGGGACAATGACTGAGTCAATGTTCACTCTTGAGAACAACAAAGCGGCATTATTTTCTACAGCAAATACACTGTCTATGGCATAAATTTATAAGAAAATATGAGATAAAGGTAGAACGGATCAATTTTTCAGACAAAAAGATTTAGCCTAGCCACACAATGCCTTATAAGATTTCTTTTTTAAATTGTGACCATTACTGGTATATGAAATGCTTATTTATTTATACTTAGTTTATTCTTAAATATACTTAAGACATAATGAATAATATAAATTAAATTTCCTCCAAATTACCTTTGCATTCATTAATTTACCCAGTATTTATTTACTGAACACCTACTATGTACTAGGTACCACCTGTGTCTCCAGGGATACAAGTGACAACAAGTCTGATATGGATCCTGCCCTCAATGTAGTTGAAGGCATTGTAAAATCTTCCTAAGTAAGCATAATGGCATTTTATAGGACCCATTCATGAGAGTCCTTACCAGCAGGGAATAGCCCCCATTTAGACCTTTTAACTCTTACATACTGGTATATAATCTTTCTCCAAGGAAGCAGGTTGATTTCTACTTTTAATGATTTAAGCATATGCACACACAGAGCCATGTAGTCAGCGGTGCCATAAGCTACTTCACCTCTAATACCTGTGTGTACATAAGTTTCAATGCTGAAAATCCATGTGCAGTTCCTAATGTCAACATCTGAGTGTCACACATCTGGGAATCACAGATAAGACCTTCAAATGAATCCAGTTGCT